CCGGCGGACTGACAGGAAGTGCACACTCAGTGTGCACCCTCCTATCACTCCGGCCGGCCACCGCGGACCAGAGTGCAGCTCGGCCACGCTACAGGGGAGGGGAGGGGAGAAGCTGCAGCCTCACAGAGCGCTCAGGCGGCTGCAGTATTTAAAGGGCCGGCCCAGGAACGCGGCCGGCCCCCAGGTGCCACGGCCCACCGGGAAATTTCCCGGTATCCCGGTGGGCCAGTCCGGCCCTGTTACTGGTCCATGTATCTGTGGTTATGTGGTCCTTGCCACAGATGGAGTTGCGCAGTGCACACCTGATTTTGTCTGCCAATTGGTTGTGCAGGGAAGGGATGGCTCGCCTTGAAAAGTAGTGGCGGCTGGGAACCACGTACTGTGGGACAGCCACCGCCATCAGGTTTTTTTAAAACTGTCCATCGCCACCAGATGGAATGACAGCATTTCAAAGGCCACGAATTTTGAAATGCTGGCATTCAGGGCCAGGGATCGCGGGTGGCTAGGGGAGTACTTCCTCTATCTCTCCAGTATTTGGGAGATGGACAGCTGAACGCTTCCATGGGACAGTGTGGAGATGGTTGGGGACGGTGGTGGACGTGGTGGAGTTGCTGCCACATCCTCTGTTTGCAGGGTTGCAGTTGCCACTGTGACTCCAGAGGTGGAGAAAGGGGCCGAGACAGCAGCAGAAGAGTAAGCAGGAGGAGCCTGAGACCTTTCTTGGTTTTTGAGGTGCTTACTCCACTGCAACTTGTGCTTTGCATGTAGATGCCTGGTCATGCAGGTTGTGCTCAGGTTTAGCATGGTTATGCCTCGCTTCAGGCTTTGATTGCACAGCGTGCAAGCCACTTGTATCTTGTCATCAGCACATTGTCTGAAGAACTGCCACGCCAGGGAACTCCTTGGAGCTGGCTTTGGTGTGCTTGGTCCCTAGGTGCGGTGGGCAGTAGCAGGTGTACAGTATAGGGGACAGCCACTCCGCTTTTGCACCCTGCTCCCTCTTATGCTGTGCTGGTGCCTCTGTGCGACCACCACCTCTTCCTCCAAACTGAACATGTCACTTGCATGACCTTCATTCCATGTGAGCTCTAGGACCTCATCATCTTCCACCCACTCCTCAACCCTGCCCTCCTTGCCGGTCTGCACACTGCTGAAAGCCACATTAGTTGGTACCTGTGTTTCGTCATCAACAGAGACGTGCTGCAGTGGTCCTTGCATGTCCACATCCTGACACATAAGTGGTTGTGCACTCAATTCCTTCCACTTCTGGGACAGGGCTAGGTGGATGGCCCATGGAAACCCCGCCAGCAGAGTCATCAAAAAGCATAAGAGACTGCTGCATGACTTGTGGCTCAGACTGCTTGCGTGATTTGCAAGGGGGTGAGGTGAAAGACAGATGGCCATGGGCTGCAGGTGCTAACTCTGAGCTTTCAGCGGGGCACCGGGTGGGAGACAATGTGCAGGAACTGGAGACACTGCAAGCCATCCAATCTACTATCGCCTGTATTTGTTCTGGCCTCACCATTCATGGAGCGGTATTCGGGCCTACCAAATAACGCTGAAGGTTCTGTCGCGTACTCGCACATGAGGAAGGTGTTTCACTTGTGTGTGTAGCTGGCACAGATCAACCACGCCCTCTCCTTGCAACAGGGATTCCACCAACACCAGCAGCACCACGACCAGAGCCACTTCCCTTATTTGACGCTCTCCTCATTCTTTGCGTTCATCCACTAAACTAACAGATGTTTTATGTCAGGCGACAATGTAACCGCCAACAGTCAACAATTTTTTAAAAATTTCTTTAGTTTATTGGCTGCAAATGTACTATTTAGCACCCAAAAAATTTGAATTTTTGAAAGTGCGATGTAACCACAGTATTAGACGCTTCGATTTGATATGAAGAGCAGGCCCCAAAATGTACTATTTAGCAGTTTAGCACCCAGAAAATTAGAATGTTTACAACTGCGCTGTAAGTGCACTATTAGACACTTCAATTTGACTCTCAGATATGAAGAGCAGGCCTCAAAATGTACTATTTAGCAGATTAGCAGCAAAACTATTCGAATTTTTACAATTGCGCTGTAACCGCCATATTTGACGCTTCGATTTGACTCTCAAATATGAAGAGCAGGCCACAAAATGTACTATTTAGCAGATTAGCAGCAAAACAATTAGCATTTTTACAATTGCGCTGTAACCGCCGTATTTGACGCTTCGATTTAACTTTCAGATATGAAGTGCACACCCCAAAATATACTATTTAGCAGCTTAGCACCCAGAAAATAAGAATTTTTACAAGTGTGCTGTAAGCTCACTATTAGACGCTTCTATTTGACTCTCAGATATGAAGAGCAGGCCACAAAATGTAATATTTAGCAGATTAGCAGCAAAACAATTAGCATTTTTACAATTGCGCTGTAACCGCCATATTTGACGCTTCGATTTAACTTTCAGATATGAAGTGCACACCCCAAAATGTACTATTTAGCAGCTTAGCACCCAGAAAATAAGAATTTTTACAAGTGCGCTGTAAGCTCACTATTAGACGCTTCTATTTGACTCTCAGATATGAAGTGCACACCCCAAAATTTACTATTTAGCAGATTAGCAGCAAAACAATTAGAATGTTTACAACTGCGCTGTTAGCGCACTATTAGACGCTTCTATTTGACTCTGAAATATGAAGAGCAGGGCGCAAAATGTACTATTTAGCAGATTAGCAGCAAAACAAATAGAATGTTTAGAATTGCGCTGTCAGCACACCATTAGACGCTTCTATTTGACTCTCAGATATAAAGAGCAGGCCCCAAAATGTACTATTTAGCAGATTAGCAGCAAAACAATTAGAATGTTTACAACTGCGCTGTAAGCGCACTATTAGACGCTTCGATTTGACTCTCGGATATGAAGAGCAGGCCCCAAAATAAACTATTTAGCAGATTAGCAGCAAAACAATTCGAATTTTTACAATTGCGCTGTAACCGCAGTATTTGACGCTTCTATTTGACTCTCAGATATGAAGAGCATGCCCAAAATGTACCATTTAGCAGATAAGCATCCAGAAAATTAGAATTTTTACAATTGCGCTGTAACCGCAGTATTTGATGCTTCTATTTGACTCTCAGATATGAAGAGCATGCCCAAAATGTATTATTTAGCAGATAAGCATCCAGAAAATTTGAATTTTTACAAGTGCGCTGTAAGCGCACTATTAGACGCTTCTATTTGACTCTCAGATATGAAGAGCACGCCCATAATGCACTATTTAGCAGTTTAGCACCAAAACAATTAGAATGTTTACAACTGCGCTCTAAGCGTTCTATTTGACGCTTCTATTTGACTCTTATATATGAGGTGCACCCCACTATAATACTATTTAGCAGTTTAGCACCCAAAAAAATTGTAAGTTTTAAAACTGCAATGTGACAGCAGTATTTGACGATTCTATTTGACTCTCAGATATGACGTGCACCCCACCAATGTACTATTTAGCACCCCAAAAAATTGACTTTTAAAAACTCCAATGTAACCACGGTATATGACGCTTCTATTTGACTCTCAGAAATGTACTAGTTTGCAGAATTCTTTCCTAAGCTGTCCCTCACAGCGGCAGCATCCACTCCCTACACTAATAAGACCTCATGTGCGTGCGGCGCTACGCGACTCCAGCTTATATATAGAGGCTGGGTCACATGCTGCACTGGCCAATCACAGCCATGCCATTAGTAGGCATGGCTGTGATGACTTCTAAGGGCACACGAGTCAAACGCTTGTTGATTGGCTGCCCTGCAGCCTTTGAAAACGCGCCATTAAAACGCTGAACACCGAACTTCAGCCCGAACATACAGTGATATTTCCGTGTTCGGGTCCGGGGTCCAAAAAACGTAATGTTCGGTACAAACCCGAACTTTACAGTCCGGGTTCACTCAACTCTATTGAAAATGTGTCGCTTCTTGTTTCTCTGCCTTTGTTAGGTAAAGAGATGACCAAACTTTCATTTTAGGCCACTGGAGGGCGCCATCATCACAGTCAAGACACAAAAAAATTTAATACATTTAATATGAAAGGTCTCTAGTCTTACCACACATATATACATATAAACGTCTATTATTATTATTATTATATTTATATAGCGCTAACAAATTCCGCAGTGCTTTACAGTTGGTGGACGAACAACCATGTAATTGTAACCAGACAAGTTGGACTCACAGGAACAGAGGGGTTGAGGGCCCTGCTCAATGAGCTTACATGCAAGAGGGAGTTGGGTAAAGTGACACAAAAGATAAGGAAGTATTAGGGAAGTAGATTGGTAGAATAGTATCAATGAAGACTTAGTGTGGGGTTTTGGAGCCATTAACAGTTTAATTGAAATGCTTTTATGAAGAAGTGAGTATTTAATGATTTTTTGAAGGAGTGGAGACTAGGTGAGCATCTAATGGAAAAGGGAAGGGAGTTCTACAGGAACAGTGCAGCCCTAGACAAGTATTGAAGGCGAGCATCAGAAGTGGGAGTACGAACAGAGGATAGACGCAGGTCTGCGTCAGAGAGTAGGGGCCTAGGCGGGACATACTTGTGTATTAGGGAGGAGAGATCGGTGGGAGCATCATTATTTAGAGATTTGAAAGCAAGAACCAGAATTTTATATTGAGCCCTATATCTTACGGGAAGCCATTGTAGGGACTGGCAGAGGGGTGAGGAGGTGCAGGCGGACAGGACGATGAGCCTCGATGCCGCATTCATTATAGACTGCAATTGGGCAAGTGGGAAACATGTAAGACCAATGAGAAGCGGATTGCAGTAGTCAAGGCGAGAGAGGACAGTGGCATGGACCAGTACCTTAGCCACATCTAGCGTTGAGTAGGGGCGGAGGTGCGCTATGTTTTTAAGATGGAAGCAG